TGCTTTCGAGAAGACACACGCCATAGTTTATATCAATGCGGTTAGACTCTAAACAGGGGGCGGAGAATGCAAAAGGTAAAAAAGTTTTACAAGACGGAGATTAAATATATCACGTTTTCAGTCCAAATCTAAAACTTCTTATAAGATGGAACACGCGACTTCCTTACTCTCTGAAAATAGTTTTTTAACCGCATCTTATTTTATTTTTTAACACTAAAAGACATTTAATAAATTACGATTTAAAAACCTTTTATTTTTTATGGTTGGAAGTGTTAATTTCAATAAATTATTATATAATAGGATTATTAAATATATTATGACTCTCTGTCAAGTCTTCCCTGATTTTCCAAAAGATGTTCGATTTCCTTCGGTTAAGATTAAGGCCTCATTTTTTTTTTTTTTTTTTTTTCCAATTTATCAAAGGTTAGGTAGGTAGGTATTTACATCTCCTGTAAAAACATGCATTCCGTTCTCGGTTCTTCAGAGACCGATTTTCTGCTATAAAATCTGATTGGTAAAAACGTCCACACAAAGGTTGATCTGTTTGATACTCGTAGTTATGGCATATGCTCAAAGAAGAGGTAATTTAATGGAGAATTTTTAAGGGAATCTGGCTTGCTCATTTTCTTCACACAAAGGGAAAAGTGGAAAACTTTTCTTGCAGCCAGATTCAATGGCCAAGTTGACCTACTTGTATGTATCCAAGTAATTAGTTTATTGGAAAAGAGAAAAAGAACTTTTATATTACGTTTTTTAGAAGCTGAAGATTTTTGCTTCATTGAAATTTAGAAATGTAATAATAATATCCAATTCAATGTGTTAAAATCCATCAGATAATGAATATTTTGTCCCTGATGGTAAAAATACTTTTCGCGAGAAGACTAAATGAAATAATATTGTTTTCCTTAAGTTCGCAAAAAATAAAAGATAGCATTCGTACTAATAAATTTCCTCAAGAAATGTTCGTGAAACAGAAATTAATTACATTTTAAAAGTGTCCTCCCGGCTCTTCTGTATTTAAAAGAGAAATTTCTAGTTTGTTAGCATGATTTCTTTTTCCTAAGAAACGTCCATTTATATAGCCATTATTGTTAGCACGATTTCTTTTTCCTAAGAAACGTCCATTTATACAGCCATTATAAGTAATTCTTTTAACAATGACGGCAAAGATAAAAGTTCCATTTCTTTCAATATATTTACCTAGAACCAAGAGGTAGATATCTTCAACATGAGTGCAGTTTCATTTGAACAATGCTACAATAAATGTTCAAATCAACTGAGGATGACAAGATGAACAATTTATTATAAAAAGAAGAATTAGTCATAAATAAGGAAAGAAATGTTAGTATAACTAGATTATAATTAAACTAAATAGTATTCATTCTTCTTTCAACATTTTTATCACGTCTCTACTTGATAAAATACTCATCCAAAATAATCTGAAGTATGACATTACATTTATTATCCCGATTTTGAACCGAAAGAATGTTAAGGCATTTAATTTGGTTTGGCACTCTTCATTTTTCTTTCTCATGTACTCAGTTTAGGGAGAGAAAATGAAAAACCAACCTCATTGGCATTTAGTTTTCAACTATAAACTTTCTTTATTGGAACTTTGCAAAGATTTCTATAACCATCTTTTCTTTCCATATTACAGTCAAGTAAACATAACCATGTAACCTTAAGAAATGAATATAATAATCACGCGCAAAAAGTATTTTTTTACGATAATAGAGACTTTCTACTGCAGATATTTTTGTTCTACATGTGTTAGAAATAGTACTCAGCTTCAAAACTATTAGAGTTCTACAATAAAAACGTGCATTAAGTTATTTTTATTTGATATAATAATAGCTTTTATTGTTACATAAGCATTAAAAATATATCTACCTGATTATTAATTGTAAAATAATATTTGGCGCTAGGTATCTAAATTAGTGCCTTCTTAATTTTTAAAATTTTGCAGGTCCTAAATTATGTTGCCCAGTGCCTCCCTTAAATAAAAAAAAATTACCACCCTTAAATTTTTCCTTCCAGTATTTTTTAAATTCTATAAATTTTTGCTGTATCTAAATTCTGCCGCTTGATCCGATCGCATGAGTTGTACCGGCCCTACAATATTATACATGTTGTCGTTTTCTATGAAGAAAAATATTACTGAAATTTCAGCAATTTATATACCAAATGAAGATTATAATAGACGAACAAATGAAGAATAGAACGAACGAATAAACGTCTAAACAAATGAAGATTATAATAGATGGTAGATATTAATCAGATTATAAATAAAATACAAAAGTCATTGCATTCCTAAAGTAATCTTAGCTATGTGTCATATATTGTTATTTCTAAAAATTCACGAATCTAAAAGAACCTTTTAACTTTAAAATAAATTAAAAAAGATTAATTGGGAAAGTAAAGAATATTAAGGACTGAAATTAGATGATATTCTATTCACTATGTGTAAGATAGAATTTCCAGCTATAGCAAAATGGAAAGTTACTGCCATTTCACATATAGGAAATGCTTGTTATAATTTCTTCTTTCAATTCTGTTATAAAAATTATCAGCTACCTTGAATAACTGAGTTTTGTTTTTATCAAATAAGTGTTAATGCCTCTAATTTGTTTTCATTTTTGTGAATTAATACCAAATTTTTTTTAACTGTTTGATACTATTGTTTTCTAGAGCTCAGCTCGTTTTACGAATAAATCAATGATTTTATTTCATATGTCTTGAATTTCTGACGATTAATTCTTAATTTGTGTAGCATAAGTTTTAAGTTTAAACTACAAACTGCACTGAGCTTAACTTCATTTCTTGTAAAATTTTCGAAAATGCTTACAATTGCCGTGGGTCTTTACACTGCAAAAATTTTAAATTCTTTTTTAAAAAAAGAGGAGGATAATATTAAGCTCACTTTTCCTTTCAAATATAAAAGTCTCTTTCATGTACTGAACTGAAATCTAAGCTTAAAGGATCAGATCGCAATTCTACCGTGATCTAGTCTAATTTGGCAAGAAATTGTGAAATTCACTTTATTATTGAAATCTTCCAGCGCTTCAGATAGTTTTCTAAAATTTGACTGATACGTAAAATAATTTACTGTGGACATCATTAAATTCCGTTTGCATACAGACGATACCCAAGTTGGAATATTAAATAAGCATCTGTTACTCAGATTATAATACAACTTAAAAAATAATAGCTACATAAATATCTCAACTGGAAAAATTATAACTGTTGCACGAAATTAATGATTACTTTACAAAATCTCATTACTCACAGCACATTTAAGAATTCAACAGTTTGTACTTCCATTTAATGGCATGTAACCAAACAAAAAATAAATCAGTTGTTCTTTTTCCTTTTTTCATCATCAACAAAACTTTGCTTTCCTTTTCTGCATGCTATTGTTTAGAAATTTCTGATAGAAGTTTGCAAACTACTAACATGCACTGAACAAAACAATGCAAGGAAAATTTAGAATATTAGTTACTTCAAAGTTTATAAAATTATTAGCTTCACAAGAAAAAATGTATCTGTCATAAGTTCGTGTTGATGTAAAAAGGCTTATTTGCTGTTCACATTACCAGAACAACTATATAAGACTCAAAGTGTTATAAAACCGATGTGAACATAGATTCTTCAGATCTAAATGAACATTTCAGATCGGAACTTCAGAAATTTAAAACTTAGACAACATTTCGCATCATTTGTTTACACATCTATTTAGATTCTCGAATTATTATTTTAAAAAAGTATTATATGTTTGAAAACTTGAGGATTTAAAAGTGACTAGAATAACAGTTAAAAATAAATAAATAAAATTTAAGTCCAACATTAGTGTATTTTTTATGTATTAGTTTATATGTCAAATGATTAAAATAATGCTAATAAAAGATTACGTTCTAAACTGCTTAGTCATCATTTCGTACTTTAAAAGGGTCTAGTGGGGACAGCGGAACTCTGCTTTTTCCTGTGTATACATATATAATATCATTTTCATTCACTCTGATGCACTGAAGAAAACACCTTCCTTGGTATGTCGTTATTGCTTCTTTCCAAATTTAACATGCAACCATTTTTCGAATTCAAATTAATGAACATTCTTTCAAAAGATGAAATATCGTTTGTTTCAAGTTCACTTCTAACACAAAAATCTTTCACTTACTTTCTGACCTCAAGTGTAAATAGCTGACGAAAGTAGCTATTTATATTTATATAGCAAAGAATTTTTTAAAAAAAGGGAGAGAACTATGAAAATATACAGGATGATTTCAAAGTAATGGTGCAAAACAGAATCTTATTTATTCTTATATGAAGTGAAACACCACAACCATAATGATATGAAATGAATACCGAAATAAGATGACGAAATGTAATAATGCGTATTAAGAAAAGTGTCGCAAAGAAATTTCAGTATAAACCAGACAAGAAAATGCCTTATCTTGACAAAATCTTTCATTGATTTATTTCATTTATTTTATTTTACACTAGACCCTTTTAAATTTCTATTAATCACAGTGTTTAATAAGAAAAGTAACTACTGAGTATACGCTGTAGAAGGAAATATTCGAAGAAGGCTAATGATTCTTTTTTTTAAGAGTATTTTCTTGTAGTTTATCTTAAGTTATATACTCTTCAGTTATCTTAAGTATTATATTCTTCAGAAATAAATGTATTTAAGCTCTTTAAAATAAAAAAAATAAAAAAATTCTCAAAATATTTTAAATAAAATAGTTGCTTTTAATGTAATGTTTGAATGCGCCTTAAAAGTCATCTTTAATGAAATGCTGCGAAATGTTTTTTTTTTTTTTTTTTTTTTTTTTCAATAATTTGAAATGTGTTAAAGATTCTCTTCACTACATCGACAAGATTCCACTATCAAAACAGTCTTATAAACTTTCGGTGGATTCCTACCCGGGCAACTGAGAGTAATGTTGGCCCATTTCCTGCGATGAGGTTTGCAGAAAGCAGAAGACTGGAAAGCCACCTTATTATTCCCTGTCCTTCCCGCATGAGGGATGAAAAAAGAATTGCACTGACCGTAGCAGAAATTGTTCATGATGTTCTTGGAGCGGCAATGCATTTCCGACACTTTCTGTCTCAAAGGGATAGTGCGGCACCAGTCCTTTTTCACTTCGCTTGCGCTGCTGATTACGTAACCCGGACTGTCCGAATTGAGCAATAGCCGATGCTGCTCTCTGGAGGTCCTCTTTGGAATCCGTCAAGTAGTTCCGGTTGTTTTCGCGAGGCTTCAGAACGAGCCTATGGCGACGCTTGCGTTTTCGATGGCGACGATGACCCTGCCGTGTATCCGGTCTCTGACGTCGCTTCCGGCTTAAGTTCCTGTTTCCCAGCTTACGGGAGTCTTCATCAATGAATGGTACTTCAGCGCCATTCATTGACGATGACGTCCGATGACGTATGTGGACCACACTCTCCTCAGGAGTGCTGTCGTCATCTTTCAGAAGAACCTCCTTACCCTTGACGATAAGTAAGTCGCCTACAAAAAAGGAATTGGGTACTCCAGCAGCATCAATATCATTGTTCTGCAACAAAATCTCACTCACATCACTATCAAAGTCTTCTTTATAACCATCGGGAAGTATCCAACCAGTAGAACTGTTTGCATTTCCGTTAACAGAATGAAAAGATATTATCTTTTGATTGATGTCCTGGTTTAGATGAGACGGTTGCTCATCTAATTTTATATTATCAATTTCAAGATTCTGAACATAAGTCTTTCCTTGAGATGGCATGCTGTACATTTCAAGCGTCGAGGAATTTTCGACTGAGTTTTGAAAATTCTTTTCGCCATCAGGGTTCGGCGGCATGCAGAATCCTAAGCCAAGGAACCACGTGATAAGCAGGAAACAAATAAAAATTTTCCATTCTGTTTTCAGGACAGACTCGAACTTCATTTCAAAAGGCAACATCTGAGGAATAAGAGAATTTTAAAATTACTAAATGTAAACTAACATTATAAATTAATAAATGACGATACACACACACATATACATATATATCGGAGAGGACCATTAGCACTCTAAACATAATCTTCAAATTATAAAATACTAATGATGCAAACAACAGAATTTTTAGTTTAATAACAAAAGGTATTTGATGTTAAGATAAGAACTGATGCTTTGCTTCGAATTATTTATTTATCATATTATTGACAATACGAATTATTACAGTATTTATATGTATTTTATCAGTTAATATGTTTCTAAACCCAAGTAAAAGTTATGCATATTCTCACAAAGAGAAGAAAATAAAAAAATTAATTTTTCGCGGAATTAATTCCGGCCAACAAGATGACACTTGTTGTCAAATTATAATTTAATCTTAATTTTAGAGACAACATATCGTAACAGAATCTTACGGAAATTCTTTGCCAAAATTTGTTTGTCCTAAACATAAAAAAGAAAATGGAAAACTCAGATCCTTGGAAATTCTGTAACGATATGGGCACACACTATATCATATATATTAAGTGACTTTGTACTGAGTGGTTTCGTATATATACAGAGATTTTTCTCAATAAATATACTAGAAAATTGCTGACTGACAGACAGACACTTCATTTTTGTAAACAAACGATCTAATACATGATACAAATAAATGCATTGATGTACTGATAGATGTACTTTATCTTACGTGCTTATAGATGTACTTTTATCTTACATATGTACTTTATCACACGAGGAAGATAAAGTACATCTATTTCTGTGTACTTATAGAAACTGATGTACTTTATCTTCCTCGTGTGGTTATTTCTCTCAGAATAATTTTCTAACTTACTTTATTGTATGAATTTAGCATATGATGCATACAAACGCACGCATATCCATATATTCTAATCTGCTGTTTGTGTTACTGATACCTTCCAGTTAACAGCAATCCATTAATTATTAAGCTTTTAAGAAATCGAAGTGTTATAAGCAGATTTGGGATTGAGCTGGAATATTCACTCTTCTTAGTCCTCGGCTCAGGCAAACTCGGTTCGCAGTTACGGGTGCCCGTAGACGCTATCCCGGCATAATGATTTCCGACTTTCGATTCTTTGTAACTTCGAACAGTTTATGAGTCGTATCGAAGAAAATGAAAGTTCAGAATAGTTCACAGTCCGGGTGAGCACGTAAATGAGTCCAACAGAAACACACCTGCGGTTCAGGCCTTGGCGAAGGTAAGTGCGCAGATAAGCAAATGACGTGGTAAAGAAATGCCTTAGCTCGCAGAATTTGAGAGTCTCTCATGTGTTGCATTAACATATTAGAAGTAAATAACATAAAATGACTGTAAACAAAAATGCATAGTGAAAATATAAGAAAATATATACATTATATACAGGTAAATATATACAACATTAGCAGCTGACCAGAAAAACAATACAGTATGAGATTGTGCATAGATATAATTAGGGTGGGACAACTAGGTATATGAATTAATAGAATGACAGTTAATGATCAAGATATTTGAGGACAGCAAACGGCCTGTCCTCAGATGTCTTGATCATTAATTCTTGATTCTGTTACGATATGCATGATTTATATAATTATCAAGTCTCTAAAATTATAATTTAATCTTAATAACAGGCCGGAATTAATTCCGCGAAAAATTAATTTTTTTTATTTTCTTCTCTTTGTGAGAATATGCATAACTTTTACTTTTGATGCTGTCAGAATTATAATCATACAGTCTGGTGTCCTTCGATTGCTGTCAGAATTATAATCATAATTTAGCACTGGTATGGTGCTATTGTTAACATTTGGTATATTTTTGAAAAATTTGTCTGCGAGACTAGCAAAGCAAACATGTAAAGTTGGTACTTCAAGCTCTTGGTGAATTGCCGAGTTTCTAACGAACCATCGACAATTCGCCGCTTGCCCTGAGTAAGATATTCTGTAGTGTTAGGAGTTTCTTTACATTAGTAAGACTAGCATATCCCCAAACAGGACAGGCATATGAGAGGATGGGAAGCAAAAGTTTCTTGTAAATAAGTAATTTGTTGTCAATAGAAAGAACTGAGTTCCAGTCAATTAAGGAGGTAAGTGTTCGTTTACGGACACGGAACTTGGCTATAATCTGTGTAATATGTGAGGTCCAGGTGAGTTGCCTATCCAAAATAATTCCAAGGTACAGGGCTTGCTTAGTCCACTGAATAGGGATGTCATACATGTGGATGCAGTCTTCATTATCGATGTTAATTCTTTTAGTGACCAAACGACCTCAGATTTATCCACATTGATCTTTACTTTCCAGGCGTTTAGCCAGGACTCTTTGGAATGCTTGTATAATTGGACCAGGAGATGCATTTTTTGAGAGAATTGCCGTGTCATCGGCGTACATAGCCAGGGTGTGTGGTGATCGTAGGATATCGTTCGTGTAAATATTATAGTAAATGGGCCCAAGGAGGCTCCCTTGCGGGACACCAGCCTTGATAGCCCGTGGAGTAGAGAGTGAATTGTTTACACGAACGATAAAGTGTCTATCCTTAAGATAGGAATAAGTGATGGCTGTGATGTACTCTGGGAAGCCCAGAGTAATGATTTTGTGCATGAGGCCTTCAAGCCAAACACGGTCAAAGGCTTTATCTACATCGAGGAAGATGGCACCTGTAGTCTGACAGTCTTGGAGGCCTTGTGAGATCAGCTCAGTGACCTTATAAAACTGGTGTACAGTTGAGTGCTTCTTACGAAACCCATGCTACTGTGGAATAATGATGTTTTTTAGTTAAGTGTATGCAAGGATTCGTACACTGAACACAAAGTAATATTAAATGCATTATTTTAATCCTAATATATGAAAATTCATTTTTATGGAAAAGGTACATGGCTAACGAACGTCGTGGGTCACGAAAAAACTTTCCAAACAAAAAATGTATTGGATGACAATGATATTTCGGGATACGAGTAAGTAAGCCAGCAGCAAGTGCTAGTCCAAAATGCAGTTAATTGTGGAGGAAATATCTTCAGATAAATAAGACCTACGGGAAAACGACCATTATTTATTTGATCCATGAAATTTGTTGAGCTTAGGTTAAACCATGTGCTTAGGTTTATAGAACATTATCACTCAGGTGGTAAGTCATAAATATTTGTAATGAGAATGCCATGCCTTCCTTTAAGAACATTTTAAAACAGAAACAGAGTCAAAAAACACAGTGTACAAGTTTTTAATAGGATTAATGTTTCAGCGATTCTCAATTAGAAGAAAGCGGTATTAAGAGAAAAGTAAAGAAAAAAATCCAGAAAGGTAGAAGCTGTCTGATAATTTTACGGAATAGGATTTCCATTTAAACAGCAGCAGCATTTTGCATATTTGACTTCTTTATAGTTTGTTGCTTAGGCTGTCAAATCTCCTTCGTTGAAATACGGTAAAATTTAATTCAAGTTTCTTTATTTTTTATGCGTTTAACATTGTGTTAAATATTGCATATTATACGTTAATATTTTGTATGTGTTAGATTTAATGAATTCCACTGGTTTTGCATTAAGAGGTCATATACAAAGTACCCTTTTCTAAGAAATCATTTGGATTTTAGGAATTAATTCATTTTACATTTAATTCCTACGGGAAAAATTGCTTCGGTTTACGAGTAATTCCGATAACAAATAAGCGTCAGGAATAAATTAAGTTCATAAGCAAAAGTTTTAGCGTATAATTTGTAAATTATTTAATGTGCAATACATGAAACCCCGAATTTTGAAAAAGCGATGGTAGCCCAATGAAGCCCGAATTTTAAATATGTTTTATTATTTATTTCAGATTTTGTAAAACTTTAATGAATTTTTGATTAAGAAACTCAAAGCGAACAGTGGCAACACTTCGAAAAACAATTTTATCTCCAGCGCGCGAGACTGTCGCCGTTCGGAAGAATGTAAGATTAACCTTTCAATTTTAATTAACAAACTCGGCTCTATAAATGCAATGTGTAGCCACGGTGGTAAATAAAATACTTTTATCTTTCACGCGTCAGCGTATTGCCATTCAGTAAATCCTAAGATACTTTCAAATATAATCTGGAATGTTACTGATGTATCAACACAGTTCTTAAGAATATTTTTTCTACTTTTTAATCTGATTGATTTAAATAAACGTATATAATCATGAGATGTCTTATTAGAAATATTCAATAACTTTATGAAATAATAGTAGCTGGACTCATTACATTTTCTTTTTTATGATAACTACTTTAGGTGGCTGAGCGAGTAGGCGGTAAGTTTTTATTGAAATAAGTACATATCAAAATTAGCAAACATCAAAATATGTATGGTATATGTATCAAAATATGTATGGAATATTATAGCAAATATCAAAATAATTGCAATTCTTACACTGTCTCTGGAGTTCTAATGATATGCTGTTTTTAAATCCTGTACGATTCTGCTGCAGAATTGAATTTTACGTGGCGTTAAGTGCGATGAGCATGTTATTTTATAAATAAAGTTAACACATAAAAGTTAATAATAAAAAGACAAAAAAAAAATTTTTTTCTTAGCCATCTTACGAAGAAAATTTAATACTGATATGATGAACTGAGAAAAGATTGAAAAAATTATAAAAGTATATGCCAGCCGACACTCAGTTTAACGATTGATAAAGTGCTTGGGCGAAGCTGGCAGTATTGTACGGCTTTCAGGCAGATAATCGTAATATTTGTGATAATCAAGTAATATTAGTAACAGGAGATTACTACAAATTACACCAGGTGCATTACAGTTAATTTCAAACAAATATGGTTAACCTGTAAGGTTTATCCTAAGTTTTTAACATATCCTTAGTTAAAGCTACTTTCCTATCTCTCCTAATTTCAACTTACAATTTCCAACCAGAATGTATTTTTAGAATCGCAGTTAATGCAAATGAGTAAGACCGGTATTTAAGTCGAAGTTCCGCTGACTTCGTTAGAGAGCCAGAGATTTTGACTAGC